GCCTGGAAAAGTCAGATTTTCATGATATGTCACCTTTAAAGACAGAGAGTAGTGAACCTATCAAGCGCTCCGTCAGAGTGTTCAAGTTGACTGAAAGCGAGTGTAAATATATCTGTGCTAAACTTATTCTTAGCCTCTAACTCAAATAATGGTGAGTAACATCTAACAATGAATTAGCCAGTGGCTAATGATAGACATTGTTTAGTCACCTGGCTTAAAAATGTAGTCACACATACAGTTTACTCTTATTGTAGAGCAGTGGTTCCCAACCTGGGGGTCGCTAAAGATTTTTGAGGGGTTGCCAAGCTCACTCTTGTTTTTTTTTTCTTGTTTTTTTCATTTATTTCATTTATAACAGCACGATAAATAATTCATTCCTGAATATTTGTAAAAATAATTCATATATGAAAAGAGAAGAAATTTCCTTAACGTTGAGCTTTTTTTGCAGCGTATTGCGAGAGTGGGACGGACGTTAGCTTTAAAAAAAGACGCAGCAAAGAGAAAATATGGCCAAGTGCCAGGGAGAAGATAAAAATGAATGTGCTAAAAAGAAAACAAGGATTTATTCGGACAGTTATCTTGAATTCGGTTTCATTGAAGCAATGGACAATGTGAGAATTGAGTGTGTAATCTGTGGTGAGAGACTAGCGAATGAAAGCATGAAGCCCTGCAAACTGAGGAGGCATCAGAGCACCAAACACCCACAGACGGTTGGTAAACCCAGATAATTTTTCCTAAGGAAAAAAAAACGTATGTCAAATAGACCCCAGAACATCAGAGATGCTTTGACTAGAGCTGGAAATGAAAATAGACAGGCAATGGTTGCATCCTTCGAGTGCGCTGTGTAAAAATGGCAAAAATAATGTGTGGGACACAGGTGGCTTCCAGACTAAAAACTGTACCTCTGTCCAATAAAAGACTGAATCAACAGAATGGAAAATGATGTTGAGAACACGTTGGTTGAAAAGTTAAAGATGCACCCATTTTCTATCCAACTTGACGAAACCTCTACTGTGGCAGATGAAGCAGTACTCATTGCATATGTGCAGTACATTGAAGATTCCGAAATAAAGGAGGACATACTTTTGTCTACTAATTTGTCTACAACAACACGAGGAGAAGATATTTTCCATGCGATTGACACATACTTCACCAAGCATCACATTCCCTATAATAATTTAGTCACATGCTGCACAGATGGAGCTGCTTCAATGATGGGAAAAAATAAGGGCTTCAATACACGTTTGAAGGAATAGGCTCCCCACTGTCTTGTGTATCACTGTATGATACACCGTCAAGCCCTGGCCAGCTAACACCTCTCTGATGAACTTAATGAAACACTCAAGACAGTTGTAAAAATCGTTAACTTTATTAAAGCCTGTCCGGTAAACAAGTGAATCTTTGCGGAGCTGTGTGAAGATGAGGTGCATCAGACTCTCCTCTTTCATACCGAAATGCGCTGGCTATCAAGAGGCCAAGTGTTAGTTCGTTTCACTGAACTGAAAGAAAAAATAAAAAAGTTCCTGAAACTGAACAACCAGAAACTGTTTGACGAAATGACAAATGAATTTCGTATCAGATCATCATACTTGGCTGATATTTTCAGCCTCTATAATGAAACAAACAAGCGCATGCAGTGCGCGGCTGCAATTGTGCTGGAATGCAAGGAAATTATTGACTCATTTGTGCATAAAGTGGACTTTAGGAAGAATAAACTGATAAAACGTGACTTTCCATCACTTCTCAAACAGACTGGGGGAAATTTACCTGAATCCTTGAGCAAAGAATTCACACGTCACATGGAACTGCTACAGGAGGTGATGAAATCACGATTTTCAGATGTTGATGAACATGTCGCCAAATGCGTTTGGGTAATGGATCCATTCACCCTGCAAAGGAGGAGGACGTGGAGTATTTAGAAGCGGAGGACGAGCTCTTGGATGTCAAGTCTAAATCTTTTCTGAGAAGATTCTTTACCAAACATGGGTACAAACGGTTCTGGCTGGTGAAAGGTCCCAACGTCGCACCTAAGCTTGCGCACCATGCTACAACCAGACTCATTCTGCCATTCGCCACAACATATCTGTCGGAGACTGATTTTAGCTCTCTGGTAACCATCAAAACGAAAGCACGCAACAAACTAGAAGTGACATTTTTTAAATGTTAAAATAGGGGTCTCCTGGAAAAAAGGTTGGGAACCACTGTTGTAGATGGTTGGGTTAAAAGCGTTGACTGGACAATTATAGTTTTAACAGATGCCAGTTAATGCATTTAGTATTGCTGTTTGCCACTTTTAATTTGGGATGCACCAATCTGATACTCCGTATCGGTATCGGCTCCGATACTGCCATTTTCTGCTGGATCGGGTATCGGTCAGATGAGACTGATCCAAATCCGATACTGTGCGTATACAATTCTGTGTTATTGTTAAGCCCCACGAAAGGCTCTAAAACATTATAAAGTACCATAAAGTTTTCGTGCACTATATATGGGCGAATTCCAAACGGAAGTGAGCATCCCTATGCCCTACTCCCTTCGAAGGGAAGAGCCCTTGAAGTGTGTTCTTTGAAGGGTTTAGGGCATTACTGTCTCATATAAGTGTTTGGAACTCCCTTGGTGAAGGGAATGACTGACCAAATGTTACCTTGACAACGCTGCGCATGCATGCAGCATTCAGCACTCCATCAGTTGTTGCAAATAAATAATAATAATAATAATTATTATTATTATTATTATTATTTTATTCAAATATCGTCTTATTTACTATTAAACTTTTTCAAACTAAACTTGCTTGCACTACCATCTTAAATCATATTTCTGTCACTGACGAAAAATATTTTGTATTACATTAAAATAAAGACAAATACAAATTAAATTAGCCTATTCTACTTATGTTTGTATGTGAAGTCGAAATCAACCCCAACTTTGCTTTAAAAAGCATCGCAAGATCTTCTAACTGAAGATAACATGATCACAAATGGAAATCACTTCGGTGAAGTGGCCATCGTATGTTCCCTTCGCTAACGGACTTCTGGAAGGGCTCTTCGTGAAGGGATTCAGTTGTTCACTTTCATTTGGAACGTCCCTACAAATGGCGTCCCCTTCCTGAAGTGCCCTTCAAGGGCGCAAAAAAACAGTTTGGAATTCGCCCTACATTCCAAGAGTTCTGAAGCCGTTCCATAGTTTAATGTGAGGTACAGATGAATATTTAAGGCATTAAATTCAAGTTCACGTAAACTCTTCTCTCCGCTGCGGCTGTCAGTCATTCTCCATTCAGCATTCAAACTGCATGTCACATTCGGTTATGACAGTCAAGACAATGAAACTCTCTCCAAGGTGATTCAATGTTCCTATTATTATACTTGATCTGTAGATGAAGATAAATGGTTTTTGCATAAAAGGACTTTATCTTGCTGGAGTTTAGTGCTGCTTCTAAATCATGTTACTTTTTACCGGATGTCTGTTAGATCCAACCCGATCTAACAGCAGTTGTTGGTTGTAAGATTCTTGAACTGCATTGTTTCAAACTATGGGCCCTATTTTAACGATCTAAGTGCATGGTCTAAAGCGCACGGCGCAATTGCGCTTAGGGCGTGTCCGAATCCACTTTTACTAGTTTAACGACGGGAAAGGAAAACAGTTGGCGCGCCCGGCACATGGTCTAAAAGGGTTGTCCCTATTCTCTTAATGAGTAATGGGTGTGTTTTGGGCGTAACATGCCATAAACCAATCAGAGTCTCATCTCCCATCCCCTTTAAAAGCCAGTTGCGCTCGCGCCATGGCGGGTTTGCTATTTACATGGCGGAATTAAATTTTTCATTTTTAAAAATGTCTGTGTGCTGCTGCGCGTTTACACACACCCTGTGTGTGTAATAGGCAAAGTGTATGCGAGCTGTGCACCCGTCTATAGGCGCATATTACTAACGCGCTCTTTAAATAACAAAGAAAAAATATTGCACCAGACTTTAGACCAGGTGTTTGTTGGTCAATGGCGCAGTGACTGGGTGTTATGGTGAAAATGACAGACTTCATGGTAATGTCTCCAGGTCTTCTCCAATCATTTAGTCCAGCCTGCACGCTTGCATTCATCTGCCTCCAATTTTGAGTGCAAGCCCACATCTCAAAATCCAATGAACAACCAATGCACAGAACCAAGTCCTCGCCCTAAATTTTTTCTTTTTCAATAATCTGTTTCTCTTGGATGTGCATCACAATATGGAGAAGATCTGTCACTACTTCCATTTCTATGCTACTTTTGGACATTCAGTGTAGCGTGAAATGCCTTGAAATCCAGTGAGCAGTCATTTGGTTGACAGTTAAACATCTACAGCCGTGTTTCCTAATTAGCAAATATCCACCTCTGACCTCTCTGTCACTGTGAGACCAGCCTATAGGCCTGGATACTAAGCAGATCCATTTAGCTATTTTAGAATCAAGTGGAGGTTTGGTAGATGGGCTGGTATTTCCTGCTATTGTCTGAAAGACGTGTCCGTGTGGGCAGCTGCTGTGTGGACACATGGAATGGACTCATGAAGGACAGTGGCACACAAGGTTTCCTCTTATTTTGAGTGGTTTATAGCAACTGGCCTTTCCTTGCCTACTAAGGTCTTTCAGTTTTTCTTCAGCTGTTAAATGTATTTTTATTTCACATTTAATGGATTATGTGAGTGGCGTGCAACAGTTTACAGTGTGTGGGTACTGCTGGCACTCACTGTTTCTTTCTTTATTTGTTTATATGCCTAAGACCAGGCAGCAGAGCATTAATTAGATGTGGAATGTGGGAATTTCATCAACCAATTCCTCCCGTCACGAGGTGGCAACACACACATACATAAAATGAATAGGGAGTTTTGTTTTCCATTGTGTTGTCAAGTTGTTGGTGACTTGTTTAAATTACTTGTCCAAAGCTTTGTGGTATTACTGACCAGATCTTTTTCTTTAACAGTTGCTAGTTGTCATGCATTGTATCATACATCTTCAATTAATTTGTGTCTCTGCAGGAACAAAGGACTGCAGTAAAAGTGGGAACTGTACCATGTTTAAGGGAGTGCTGAAGAAAGGGCGAGAGGGAGGAGGAAGAACTGGCAAAAGAGATGCAGGTAAGCTTCTTTATGCCCAGAAGGAAGGAAAATGATATTAATAAACTGCTGCGGAAACCTAATGAACTGTACTTTGCTGTTGTGTGTATGCTTAATTTAATTGTATAATTGGCATATGGCCTTCAAAGAGATTTACAGAGCTGTGGCTGGGATTGGCCAAATGAGATTTAGTTTTTTTTTTCTTATTCCAGCTCAAGCTGTGGCTTGTCATTGAAAATTATCTGAAATGATAATTTCACAATCGTAATAACAAATGTTAGGATCTCACAGCTTTCATAGAATAATAGTCACTCAAAAATAAAAGTTGACATTTACTCAAACTCATGTTGTTCCAACCCCATATAATATATTTTTTTCTCTATGGAACACAAAAGAAGGAATTTTAATAATGAATGGAGATTGGAGCGTTCAAAAAGCATGCAAAATCATCATAAAAATATCATACATGTAGTCCATATGACTAGTATGCTATTTTCTATGTCTTCAAAAGCCATACAGTGGCATACGGGAAACCCCGCACCCCCGTGAAGTGTGGGAGCCCCGCCCGTTTAGTGGGCCCTGTCGCAGGACATTCTAAAAGACATTCACAAATCACACAGAATGTGTTTTTGCTTTGAAAAACCCAAGACACGGCAGTGGAATTTGGAAAAAATGCAAGGTCTCCTTTTTTTAAAACTTTTAAACTTCTTTTGACTTGATCGCCGCATTTTTAGAATGTCGTGTCATGCTTGAGACACTGCACAAGACACGACAGCAAAGATAGTGCAGTGGAGTGGAAAAGTTAATTGAAAAACTCTTAATGTCGCTTAATATTCTAAAACAATAACCAGGGAAAATTGATTTTCTCTCACATTTTAATTCAATTCAGTTCAAGTTTATTTGTATAGTGCTTTTCACGATACAAATTGTTGCAAATACTCAAAGGTAGACACACATCCGCCATTAAAGCATGTAACAGTGAGTAAAACAATGGTAATGTGTGTGAATAGAGTATTAGTAATGTAAGCGAGATTAGCGGCAACCACGCTGGCGATGGTAACGGGCTATATGCTAATAGCGGACTCGGGAAATCAAAATAGAACTAGTTATAACAAGGCGCTCTGATTGTTTTTGTTGTAGAATACGATAGGGGATATATTCACTCGTTATAGAAACGAAAATGATGGTGTATAAAATTGATTTTAAGATTTTTAATTCTTTAAGACAATAAAGAATTAACTTGACGGAGCTTTTACTTGTCATAAACGCTATACTTCTAAGACAACAGCACCACAATCGAAGTGGATATTTTTACGCTTAACGTGGCTTATGCATTAAGACAGTGATATTAAAAGATCAAACTCTGCAGAAGAGCCCAGAATATGAATGCAATGCACAAAGTTTTACATTAAGCGTTTACCAGTGGTAACATGCAATTGTTATGCTCTACCTGTTCTTATTCAATTCGGTTGGTGTAACCTAATATATTTCTAATGTTAAATAACATTTTTAAATAAAATTAATTAATTTAGATGTTACCACATGAAGCGCATTTTTAGATTATCATTACGGTTAATGTGGCTTAATGCATTAACACATTAAAAGACCAAATTAACCTTGATGATGCAAATATGTTTTTGTGCCCTGGTCAGCTGCTGTGCTTCTGTGATAACCACCTATTTCAAATGGCAAACACTTTAGCGGTTCAGTACACTGACGACTTGTCACCAGACTTTGCCATGCAATTTCTATCTTTCATTCTCAAAATTGAAAGGGATCAAGACATTTCCCCGGAGCACAATGTGACAAGAAAGACTGTCCAGTATAGCTCTTCTGAGTATTGAGAATGCCCGTGCTCTAGGGTTGTGACGATGAGGAAATTTTCCCACCGGTTAATCGACGTGTGACAACACTGGTAATACCGGTATCACCGCGGGGGCGGGGGCGTTCCCTCTTTTCCTCGCTTTCCTTCGCTTTTAAATGGCGTGCGCATTTTACTTTTCCTTTCAAATAGCGGCAATTCGGAGTAAAGGAATTGTTCGTTTTTAGTTCGTTTGAATTTTCCCTCTTTTCCTCGCTTTCCTTCGCTTTTAAATAGCTTAAAATTTTACTAACATTTTACTTTCACTTTCGAATTAGTGGCATTTTGGCGTCAATTGCTTGAATGCAACAACAAAATACCACGTCAAACTCACTTCAGCCTATATATAAAACATAGAACTTTTATTAACAAAACAAATAAAAATACACCATGCTATAAGGCAGGTTATGCCTAATATAAAACTACAAATAACTTACATAAAGTTTAAATAGGTATACAAAACTGGAAATAAGTAAACGTATAATATATAACCAAATAAATAAGAAAGTAGAACGTTTATTAGCAAAACGAGTAAGAAAGCTTGGAGGCACGGCATACACCTTGATGTCAAATAAAATAAATAAATGACACAAAGTTTAAATAAAGTAAAAATCAGCAAACAATGTGGAACCAATTAAATAAGAAACGAATGTTTAAAAAAACTTCCAAAATCAGATAAACGGCAAAAGTCAACAGGCTTTTCAAAATCCAAAATATTGCCAAACAGGCGCTTTTGCATTTCGTCTCGAAACTAAATCATCCGCGATGGTCTTGTCTGTCTCACCCCACTCTTCTTGTCAGTCAGCTCGACTCACTTTCTTTATATGAGGGGGCAGGATGTTCTTCAAAAATTACATTTTTGTGTTCCACGAAAGTCGTATTAGCTAAGGAATGGCATGAGGGTGAGTAAATAACTGAATTTTCAATTTTGTGTGAATATTCCTTTGAGAGTCTCTACGCTTTCACACTTATGCCACTCTCTTGAAACGTCAACCACTGCGACAAATAAGAGTCATTACTTCATTAATGATGTCACGTTACTATGACACCCAGTTCCACAAGATCGCCCTTGTATCCGCTCGGGCTTCTTGCTGAATTCAGCATCATTGCTGGCCCGATCCCTCTCTCCCAACGGAGCCTCTCAATGGAGCCATGTTCCAATTAACCTCATTCATCTCTGCTCCACTCACTCACTTAAGTATGTCAAGACAAGTTTGAGAGCAGCCAAACAAACACTACCTGACCCACATACAAGAAACTTCTCATCTGCTAATCTAACTCGGTGTCTTTTTTTTTTTAAGTCAGGAGACTGCAAATAAATAATTTCCCTTGTTTATCGTCCTCTCTTGAATGTAGTTGATTGTCACTTTGTTTATTCTCTGATGTGCAAATCTGCTCTACTAACATCGGTGAACTCCCTCTGGTTTTCATACTGACAGCCGATGAAGTCTCTGTCGGTTAGAGACAACACTTGTGTGTCCTCTAAAGAGACATATTGCTCATGAAGTATTTACGACACCTTATGTTAGCTGCAGGGGGATGGAGAGAGTCATCCAGCACACATGACAGATCAGACGCCAGTCTTACACTCAACAGTGCCACTTTTTGTGGCGGCTCATCTGCCTGGAAGCTCTGTTCTCAGTTGCGAAAGTAATAAAGAGCAGCAGATACACAAGTAGTGAGATCATGAGAAACCTTTCTGGTGCCAAATATGACAATTTTTATTCAGTCAAATCTGTTGTCGTTTGTTTTTGAGGAATCTGGATTTCAGAAAGTCACATACATGTGATTATGTACAGTTTTTCTCAAAAGACACATTTCTGTTTAACATTTTTCAAAAAAATAAAAAACTCAATTTTATAAACTTCAAAATCAAACAAATTAATCTTTAATTTAAATGAAACTTTGCCTTCACGTGATTTATTGCATATTGTCATATGTACAGTATTAAAAACATTGACCATGCCTTCTTCCAGCACTGAAGGAGGTTTCAGAGCAACTGGTATACTTTTTGAACTGTTCAACATACTACTATGATCAATAATACCATTCGAAAGTTTGGGGATGTAAGATTTTTTTTTAAATGCTTTTGAAAGAAGTCCCTTAAAGAAAGAAGGCTGCATTTATTTGATCAAAAATACACATTTATTTGATCAATCTATTGAATTTTCAGCAGCCATTAGAAGCCATTCTAATATGCTGATTTAGTGCTTATGAAATATTAAAAAGCCACTATGTGCCTAATGTTCTCAAAAACAGCCTACCATGTCAAGGAACATTTTTCTGCTCATATTGATGTCTATCATATACCTTTCAGCCTTTTTTGCATTGTTTGGATCGCAAATGAATTTGTCTCAAGATTCTAACTGGTGTAAGAACAGTTTTGCACATTGAGCGCATGGTGTAAAATGCTGAAATTGTGTTTAGAGTTTTGAGATTTGCAGCTTTGCAGATTTGCAGCTTGTGTGAATCACAGGAATGTTTATTGTTTTGAGAAGTTTTATTTTAATGCTGTTATAGTTTAGGATATTTAATTTATAGAGCAAAGAAGAACTGTAAAATAGTGAGACATAAGAAACGCACGTGACTAGCAAATACCTACTGAGCTTTCAACAAGATGTGTGGATTAATGTATTTTTTTTCTATTCAAAAACTTAGTGAGCTGCCTTGCTGTCTATTCACTTCATAAGCAGCTTCCTTATAATGCAGCAGCCTAAATGATTTGGAACCTCATAAATGACTGAATGGAATGCTGTACATGTTCCGCAACAGAAATGGCACACAGAAGACTCGACTCTCAATTGATTACAATAGAGTTTGACATTTGTGTGTTGCTAAACAATTGACACGAATCATAAAAATATGTAGCACACATGAATATTGAATAAAAGAGTCAATTTTTAATTAGATTGACATCTTTTTTTGAAACTCTATTATTGAATGACATTTAGAATTGACATTTCCCTTGACTCCATATGGAATCAGAATTTTGACTGAAAATTTACATTGCTTTTTGCAGTGCATTTGCCTTTTCAATGAAGTTCATATGTGACCCTGGACCACAAAACCAGTCTTAAGTCACTGGGGTATATTTGTAGCAATAGCCAAAAGTACATTGTATGGGTCAAAATTATTGATTTTTCTTTTATGCCAATGAGGT